GAGAGCGGCGCCTGCACGGCGGGGCGCGGGCGCGCTGGGTCCGCGCGGCTCGGCGGGGGCGGCTCGGCCCCGCCGGCTCGGGGTCCCGCGGCGGCGCTCGCTCCGGTCCCCCCACGTGGCCCCGCCGGCGGCTCGGGCTCGGGCTCGGGCTCGGGCTCGGGCTCGGGGCTGTTGACAACCCCCACACCAGGAAGTCCTGCCTTCTCGGGCCTGCTCACTGCTCGCTGCTCCTCCTCCCGCCTCCCGCCTCCCTCCTCCCGCCCGAGGCCGGCTGCCAGCTGGCCCCGAGCCAGGCCCGCCGCCGCCGCGCTGCACAGTGGCCGCCGCCGCCGCCCGAACTGCTCGCCTTAACCCTGCACCTGCCGGGCTCCGGCCGGCTCCCGCGGACGGCGGGGCGGGGCGGGGCGGGGCGGGGGAGCAGCCTGCGGGGGTCCCCTCGCTTGCAGGCTCCTGCGCTGCGGGCCCTGCAGAGGAGTCGCGGGGAACTGCCAGGCAGGCTGTGGGCACCTGGCGTTCACGGGTACCCAGGCAGCGTCCCCAGCCGCTGGGGCTGGGCTCGGCGTCTCCGGTTTTCACCGCAGCGCCGCGGGAGACCTCCCCGCGCCCCGCTCCCGCGCAACAGCGAGTGCGTACGAGAACTTTCAAACATGCCCCAGAGTAGAGGAAATAGGATAATGAACGCCCACGCGCGCCGTCACGGACTCCTCGAAACAATCGTCAGCTCTTCATCCCTCCAACACCTTTTCTTGGTTTTTGCAGCGGTGTCTGACTTTTTTTTTAATTACGTGGGAGGGGGGTAAACGTCCGGAGGTCCACGGGGCGGATCGGTTCTCTCTTTGCACCATGTGGGGCCCAGGATGGAAACGTGTCAGCCGTCTGGTTTGGTGGCCTTTACCCGCCGAGCCACGGCATCTGTCCTGCCCCCGTGTCTGCAATCAAGTTTCTCATACGGTGCTTTCCCCTTCTCAGACACGAACACGAAGCAGAGTATCCGAAAACGCTGTTGGTAGCAGGATAGACTGTGAGTGTGTGTCGTAAGGACACACGCATGTGCAGTTACGCCTGTGTTTCCTAGCTCGAGGAGCACACTGGGCGTCCCTCTCCGTGTCACTCGCTGAATGCACAGCCTGGCTGGCGGCCAGCAGGCCCAGGAATCCCCCTTTCTCCGTTTTCCACAGCGCTGAGGCGGTAGGCACATGTGCCGGGCTCTTGGGGGTGCTGAAGATTTGAACTCAGGTCTTCCACCCGCGGAGCCAGCTCCTCAGCCCACAATAGGTATTGCTACACACTCATCTGTGTCCTTCTGTCCGTCATGTAAGCACATGGACAGACCGGAAGATGAACTTGCTCACCCCTGTTCCCCCCTAAGTCCACACAACCGCCCCATAGGTGCACCTGAGACCCAGTCCCGACCCTTTCCCCGCTCTGCAGTACTGTCCCCTGATCATTATAAAGGAGGATGCACACACGTAAAGGGTCTACTCTGAGCCTGGCAAGAAAAAAACAAAAACAAACTCCCAGCTGCCATTTTTCTTTCTTGGCACCCAAAGCTGGCATGCTGAGCGGGAGTCCTTCAGCCAAAGACGGCTCTAAAGGCGGCGGCATCTGCTGCCACTCACGGGCTTGGAAGGAGATAGGGCCTAGTTGATTTTACTCAAAGTCCTGGCTAGGTGAGGCAGTGCACTGTAGCCCCAGATCTTGGGGAATGGCATAGAAGCAGGAGGATGAGGAGTTCAAATCCAGCCTCAGCCACATGAGATCGTTTCAGCAGCAACAGACAGACAAGACAGACGGAGAGACAAGAGGAAGAAAGGAAGGAGCTGTTGGCTGGGCTGGGGATGTAGTTTAGCAGCAAGCTTGCCTCATATAAACGAAGCCCTGGACTTCGTCTCTAGCATCCAAAGCACAGATAATGGGTCACATCTGAAATCCCAGCACCCTAGAGTGAAGGCTTTTCCTGGTGAGTAAGAGGCTACCCTGGGCTACTACACAAGATTCTGTCACATCGTCTCACGGGGAAGAAGGACCGTGTGAATATAGAGATTCAGTGAAAGAAACAGACACATTCGTGGATTTTAGGCTTCTGTGGGAATGTCTAGACGATGTGCTTTAACACACACACACACACACACACACACACACGTGTGTGTATATATCTTTTTTTAATAAGGTCTTAACCAAGCTGGTAGCCAAGTGAAATTGTGACCCAGCTCGGAATGCAAGAGCTACAAGCACAAGCCAGCACGCCTGACTCTCCTTAGTGTGCTGGTGTTGGTGATAGTGTCAAGAGGTCCCAGGCGTGAGCGTCTACTCTACTGCTGAGCTGTAGACCAGGCTGGTCGTGGCCTCAAAGATCGGCCTGCCTCCGCGTCCCGAGCGCTGGGATCACAGGCGCCTGCCGCCACCCCCTGGCTTATCATACTTTGAGCCAGGCTCTCAGTAAGGGGCCCAGGCTGACCTTGGAAGAAGCTGCAGGGCAACCCAGGCAGCATTTTTTATTTTCCTGTGATAACGGTTACAAGCCAGTGCCTCGGCTTCAACTACTAGTGTGCCCGAGTTACAGTTTATTTTTATTGTGCGCATCTGTGTGCAGCTGCCCGAGGAGGCCAGAGGGTCTGATGCTCTAGGGATGGAGTTACAGGCTCAGCGTGGGTGCTGGGAACTGTCCTCCAGTCTTCTGCAAAAGCACTGTGTGCTCTTAACTGCTGAGCCATCTCCCTAGTCCCTCCAACTGCCTTGGTCTGGTTTGGCTTCTCCAGACAGGGTTTCTCTGTGTAACAAGCCCCAAACTCGATTTGTAGACCAGGCTGGACCCGCAGAGATCGAACTGCCTCTGCCTCTCCTCAGTGCTGAAATTAAAGGCCTTCACCACCATATCCGGCCCCTTTAAGGTTAGGTAAACGTTAAAATGGAAGAAGAGGAGGAGGAGAAGAAGAAAAGATCCCTAGATGGTTTGGTGGCAAATGACTAATCCCAGCACTTGGAGGGCAGAGGCAGAAGGATCTCTGAGTTCAAGGCCAGCCTGAACTCAAGGTCGACAGCCTGAGTCCCTGGACAGCCACGGATACACAGGTAGGCCTTGTATTGAACAACAACGACAAACAAAATTCCTGCCTCATCTGTTTATTCTCTTTTATTCTTTATCTTTTGACTAAAAATCTATCCTTACTCAAGCCAAGGTAGCACATGCCATTAATCCCAGCACTTGAGAGGCAGAGGCAGAGGCAGAGGCAGGTGGATTTCTATGAGTTCAAGGCCCGTCTGGTCTACAGAGCAAGTTCCAGGACCGTCAGGGCTTTTACACTGGGAAACAAACAAACAAACAGAAAACCCAAAACAAACAAAAAGGTGTTGTCTGTCTTGCATTACCCACAGTACAGAATGGCTGTAGTAGCCAGGTCCTGAAGCCCAGGAAAAAGCTCCCCACAAAACCTCAGTCCTCCAGACCGAGTGCCTACAAGAGTGCCTACACTCTTGACTTACAGAGTGCTTACAACTCCTACGGTCTTTATTTGTAGAGTCTCATGTAGGCCACACTGGCTTCGAACTCGTGTAGCTGAGGACGACCTTGACCTGAAGAAGCTCCCGCTTCCACCTGAGGCATGCTGGGACCACAGGTGTGAGCCACAGCGAGCCAACCGAGGCTAACTGAGGCCCGCGTGCTCACAGGAGCAGCGATACCAGCTATTAGCCCGAGGCCACACAGCACGCCGGCGAAGCCTGTGCCGCCCTGAAAAGCACCCACAGGCACCCGGGATTAGGACGAGCACATTTGGGCAGGGATCCTATTTTTCAGGCCCTGGAGGGCACAGCGAGGTCTTCTCACCCAGCCGCAGAGCTCTGTGTCAAAGCTAATCCTAGAGAGGAATTTGTCAGCGGGCTGTGAAAGGTCAAGGGAGGGGAGGGGTGAGGTCACATCCCTAACCGCTCCCGGGCGAGGCGCGGGGTGGTCTCCCAGAGGCTGGCGGGCGGCGCTCGCGCAGGCGAAGGTTCGCAGGGCACGGCTTGGCTCGCGGGGGCGGGCGGAAGACTTTGAGCCCCACACGGTGGAACAAGGTCCGGGCGCCGGGGAGGCTGCGCGGCCCAGCACGAGCCGGCGGGCTCTCCTGCCCTCCCCACACCCGGGGCGGGGTGGCGGGGTGGGGGCACGCCCCTGCGCGGCGACTCGGGGTCCTTCCGCCGGCGTCGCGCTTGGCAGCACCCGGGGGCCGCAGCCGCAGCCTCCCACCGGGGGCGCGAGGGCGCACGGGGTTCGCGGTGGGTGCGACCTCCAGGCGCCCGCTGGGGGGCGCGCCGAGTACCGCGCGCCTCCGCCGGTTTGGGAGACCCAGCCCCGCACCGCCCGGCTGAATAGGGGGCGCGGGCCGGCGAGGACCCGGCGCCCGCGAGCCGGGGAGCTGGGCCCCCGCACCCCGGGACTCCCCCGGCACGCTCCCCGGTGCGCTCCGCGGGCCCCGCACCCGCCACCCCCGGCCGCGGGCGCAGCGCCGCCCGCCGTTCCCGCTCTGCCCTTGGAGGGTGTGGAAGGGTGGGTTTGGGGCCGGGGGCGGGCCTGGGGGCGGACCCAGAGGCGGGGCTGGCTCTGCGGCAGGGCCCGGTTCGGCTCCCCCGGTCTCTCTCTGTCTCTCCTCCTCCCTCCTCCTGCTCCGGGCGGAGCCCGGCATGGGGGGGCCGGCGCCCGGCAGGCCAGGTACGGTGATGTAGAAAGCGGGGAGGCTTCCTGCGGGGAGGTGGGGAGGGGGGGACCAGGGGCAGGGAGCATCGGCGGGGCGAGAGGCGGAGACACCCGGGGTAGCAGGACAAGGGGGCGAGGAGGGGCGCCTGGGAACCTGGGGCCCCTGGATGGGAAGGAGGGGTGGAGGGATGGAGCGGGCCAGGTTTGGAGCAAACTGGGGAAGGAGGAGGACGGCTGTGAGGAGGGGCTCCGGGAGGAGACGTGAGGCAGAAGGCGAAAGGGTGAGAGTGTGTTTGGGGGAAGGGACGCCGAAGCGCAGGTAGGAGGCCGCAGCCCGGAAGGTTGCTATGGGGCCAGACTGGAGACCCCCGCCCGCGCCGGGGTGGGATTCGGGGGCGGGACTACTAGGGGGACGCCGGGGTTCTCCCAAATCCGGGAGCAGAAAGAAGGTAGATTTGGTGTGGGCCATCAGCGAGAGGAGGGAGGCAGAAACCGTTGCTGAGGGACCTGGGAGCTGGATAGAGGTGGACGAGGTCCAGGCCCAGGACGGGAAAAGCGAGGACTCCGGGGAGTGCAGGTAGATGAAGGGTGGGTACCCAGCTCCGAACGCCATCCTCCCTTCAGCGTCCCCACCCGGTCCTGACGAACCCCCGCCCGGCCCCCGGGCCCGAGAGCGGGTAGCAAGCCTCGCCGCCCCCCTTCTTCCCTGGCCGGGGGATGTGCAAGTAGGCCCCAGCACAACTTGTCCGTAGGTGTGGCCGATTCCACGGCAGATTTGTGTGCCGGAGGTCTGCGTGTGTCGGTGGGTGTGTCGGTGGGTGTCAGTGTCTGGCTCTGTGTTTACCTGTGCCCCTCACGTCTGCCCCTGTTGGAGATGCAAGTCTGGCTGGTGCTGTGTGCCTGCGGAGTTGCTGTTTGTTTGTGAGGTCTGTGTGTCTGTGGAGGTTCGGGACGTATTTACACAGAATGGGAATCTGTGTCACCCTGCCCTCTGAGCGGCCGTGTGGCTGGGTACCTTTGTCAGGGTGTGCACGAGCCACACACCCACTTGTGTGCCTGTCTGGGAGGGGGCCCATAGGCGCTGTGGGTATTCTGTGCCTGCTTTCCTCTTCTGAAGACCCGCATCATGTCTCTGTTCCCTTCTCTCTTTCACTCACCCCTGCCCATCCGTCTCCCCCGTTCTCCTCCCCGTCCCCTTCTCAAGTGGATCCGGGACCCAGGGAGGGCCGCCCCCCGGGCCTGGTGGCGTTGAGAAGGGCCCCTCAGCCCCCACCTCTCGCCCCACGACATGAACCTTCTCTACCGAAAAACCAAGCTGGAGTGGAGACAGCACAAAGAAGAGGAGGCCAAACGGAGGTAGGACTGGGGCCCTAGGCTGTTCCGGGGCCTGTTGCGCTGGGCCTGCCCCTTTTGCTCAGCCACAGCCCCTCCTGGGGCCCACGAGCCTTGTCAGCAATGACAGTTCTTTCCCCAGATTCTCTGCTCGGTAGAATGGCTGCAAGCGCACATGCTTGGTCCCAGCCCCACTCCTGGCTTCCTGGGGGAGGGGATGGCCAAGGGGGTGACTTCCAGCCTTTGGAGAACCTTGTTGGCTTGTCCCCAAGCTTGAGGGCCCAAGTCACCCCTTCCCAATTCTTTCTTCTGTTTTGAGACTGGCGGCTGGTTTTCTCCTGTCACCTGACCTTGGAAAGGGCAGGCCCCACGGTCCTCACAGGGTCCAGGGAGAGGGTCATTTTAGAGCCCTCAAAGAGCATTTAGAGTCCCCTCCCAGCCTCCTCTATTGGAGGAAGTGAGTGACTAAACGACAGGGGTGTGTGTGTGTGTGTGTGTGTGTGTGGTGAGAATTTGTAGGCTAAGTACTGAGGAAGGGCCAAGTGGAGACCCCATACCTCTCGCTCTTGAGGCACCACCATCCCTTTCTTCTGCCCTCCCAGGAACTCGGGCCTAGCCTCGCTCGGCTTCATCCTCCTCTTCCTTTCCCTCTGACTGCACAGTCTCTTGGAGCCTGAGTCAGAACCACCTCCCAGCCCCCTTCTCCCTCCTCGCAACTGTGGAGTTTAATTCTTGTTGTTAATTAGATTAATCAGAGCGATCACTACAGCGATCTCTCCCTAATGAAGGGGTAGTAGACAGGGCCTTAATGAGAGCCCACCCCACAGCGGCCTCCCCTGCCAGCCGCCCCCCTCACTCACCCAGAGAACTTGGGGACAGAGAAAGGGAATAGAGAGCTGGGGAGGATGACAGAGAGAGGGCAGCAGAGGGAGGGAGGAAGAGAGAGAGCAAGAGAGAGAGCGTGCTTCCAGGGAGGCTGCTGTGGTGATTCAGGCATCACACTGGGCCACTGGAAGGCCTGTGGTGTGACGGAGGCCATAGTCACTGGGCATGACAGGAGGCCAAAGGTCAGATGTAGGCCCCCATGTGAGAGGTGCCATAGAGGCAGGTATGTCTGCTTGTCTGTCAGTGGCTTTTGCCTGGATCGCACCTTTCTCCACATAGCAGGTTGTGTACTAGTCAGAGGGTCAGTGGGGCACACTGTCTGATTTCACTTCTGGCACCGTATGCTGCCCTCCGACCATCGCCTGGCTTTTCCTAAGTCCAGAGAATCTGCCTGAAGACATCCCGACCCTAGACCTTCAGCTCTCCCTCCCAGGCTCCTGCCCCCCTCCCTGGGGAAGCAGTTGTCCAGCTCCTGAAAAGGCCATCTCCTGAGATGGAGAAAGGCAAGTTCAAGGCTTGGTGTCTAACTTCAGTTCCATCCTGTCTTCTCTCCATAGCTCCAGTAAGGAAGCAGGCCCAACAGGCCCGGTGGGGCCTGGGGCTGTCCCAGCGCCCGGGGTTCGAGTGAGGGACATTGCCTCCCTTCGCCGGTCCCTCAGGATGGGCTTCATGACCATGCCCGCGTCCCAGGAGCACACCCCCCACCCCTGCCGCAGCACCATGGCCCCACGCTCGCTCTCCTGCCACTCGGTAGGCAGCATGGACAGTGTAGGGGGTGGGCCTGCAGGAGGCGGGGGCGCTCTCACGGAGGACAGCGGCGCCCGAAGACCCCCGGCCAAGCCCCGGAGGCACCCCAGCACCAAGCTCAGCATGGCAGGATCCGGGGCAGAGACACCGCCAAGCAAGAAAGCAGGTGAGACAACCATCCTGTTACCCATCCCTCTTCAGAGGGAGCTGGCAGCCGGCAGGATCCATTCCATGCCGGGGGGGGGGGGGGGGGGGGGGGGGGGG